CGATTTAAAAATCGATGCGGATTTCTTTTTTCATAATTTTGCCGCGGTCTTTGATCTGGTTCATCGGCGCGGGAAACGTTCCGAGTTCACGGGGTCAGCTCGACGAGCGCTGCGCTGCAGATTTTTCATACCGGACCGGCCGAATGACCCGACCCGTAAACCGCGTTGTTTACTCCAACACTTTGGCAGTCGGTGAACGAACGGACGGAAAGGCAGCCGGTAGCGCCTCAGCCAGCCAGCGGCAGCCCCTAATGATCATTCCGTGTTTACGGGGAAACGGGCCAAAATAAAAGGCGCTGTCTGTCTCTCTCGCACCCCCTGCGGCCTGCGGGGCGCCCCGCGAGTGCGACAGAGACGGAGCGGCGACGGTGACGGGGCGCATGCCGCTGCGGCCGGTACGCCGCCGCGCAAAATTCTCATCCCGCTTTCGCGCCTCCACTCTGCAACAGTTTTTATTCGCCATTTGGCACCGGCCGGCCGCGCGCCACCGCGGAGCCCGGCGGAGCCACCAGACCGACTCCGAGGGGCGTCGCTCTGTCTCTCTCGCACTCAGCGCCGTACGAGGGCGAGAGAGACAGGGCGGCGAAAACGACTCAGTCGGAATCAGTCTGCTGCAGAACCAGCCAGGCCAGCCGGGCCGCCTCGACGACATGCACCGACCAACAAAAACAAAAATAACAAAAAAAAACCTTGCTCGCGACGATGCCAAGCGCAATAATTATTGATTACAGTGATATGCTCGTGGACGCGCCAGCCAACGCCTCGTGGGAACACCCACACTACAAGTGTTGTCTGTCTGTCTGTCTGTGTGTGTGTGTGTGTGTGTGTGTGTGTGTGTGGACGGACGCATTATAAATTAATACATCAGAGCAAATGGGCGGAGACGCGTCGATTAGAGAAAGTGTCGATCTGCAACACGACGACCAATCAAGAAACGCACAGCCAGGCAACAACGATAAGGGGATTATAACGACGGATGCAATGAGACTACACGAGTCAATGTATAATTACAAGAGTGTTTGCCAATGCGCTATGCTGCCTCACTCACACACACACACACACACACACACAAGTACGTAAGCCTGCTCTGCTCGTGGCCAGCGCACTGCGAGCGACAGAGACGGTAGAAATAACGAAAATTGGGTCCACACCAACCAGCAGCCCGGGGTATTGTGTCTCAGTAAGTACGGGGAAAAAACACGTACGTCCCTGGGTGGGTCACTCCACTAATAATTGAAGTGTAGTGACTCACATCAGAAGCCGGATATCAAGATGGGGAGTCGGTCACAATCAGGGAATGCAATCACTATAATTTAACGGCAGCGAGTGGGGGAGGCAAGTCCGAACGGACGGTCGGTGGAGTCAACCGTACTGGTCCACCGTCGGCAGCGCAACGCCTCCGCCGGACGCACCGCGCCAGGAGAGCTTCGTCGCTCTGTCCCCCTCGCACCTCCACGGGGTGGCCCGCGAGCGCGACAGAGACAGAGCGACGGCTGGCCGAACGCTCGACGTCGCCGCCGGCCTCTGCCCCGCCACCTACACCGCAAACAACCCAACACCCCCGCAAAGCGCGGATTTGCCACTTGAGAGACAAATTACTGTATTTGCAGACAGAGAGGCAACAGCACGCGGCACCTTGACGCCGCCCGCCGCGGCCTCCAGAGAGATAACGACAATTCAGGAAGAGACGTGATTACGCCACCAATAATGTGGACTACCGCCGAGTACGCCAGTCGCCGGCTCGACCTTGCGGGTCGCCATGGAGACGGCCGAAAGCATCGCAACTACGCCAGCCGCCCGGCGCACTTACAGTGTCCTTCGCCGCCACAATTTGACCAGTCTGTCACAATCACTCCCAGTCTCTCTCTGTCTCTCTTGAACACACACACACACACGCACGCACGCGCGCGCACACACACACACACACACACACACACGCCGTGTCCTGGAGCGGCGCGGACAGGACAGGACAAATTTAAGGCGGTCCGAAAATGCAGAGGCACACGGCCACCTCTCTATGGAGCTGGCTGGCATACTCCGCGCCGGCCGTGCGGACAAGAAGGCGCGCCAATCACTTAGGCGCGTCACTGACGCGTCACCGGCACGTCTCTGACACGTCCGCGCGTGACGCGCCGTTAAAACGCGCTTGAAAGTGACATCAAGGTGACGGCCGGCCCGGTGCATCTCAATGACGTGCTCCACGCGATCGTCGGGGGTGTGCGAACGCGGAGAACCAGGACCCCAACAACGCGAGTGTTGTTGTTTTGTGAATCGGCGCGTCCTCTTTGAGGGGGCGCGCGTCCCGCCGCAAGGTTCAACTTTCTCGTGAATCACGCCGAAAAATCGACGGGGGAGTCCATTAAAAAGACGCAGGTGTCGTTAGGCCGCGCGCCGCTGAGAAAGATAAACGAGACTCTCGGAACGGGACGCGGCGACGCGCGGCGACGCGGACCAGGGACACCCGAACACGCGCCCGCCGCGGAGAACTACGAGTTCGAGGAGGACAACCAGCGTCGGACTATTTCTTAGAGCCATTTACTGAATGAACCGAAACGCGCGCGCCATCACACACACACACACACACACACACACACACACAAACTCTCTCTCACACACACACACAATGCAGAGCTGATGCCGACGCACTCCTGCAAAGCTTCAGATTTATTTCGAATAAATCATCCCCGACCGAGGCAGGTGTGAATTGGTCGGCGAAGGCATTGTGAGCAGCGCCCACCTACAACCGGTACCGCGGCGAGGGGTACCGGGTTCGAGCCCCGCGGGGGGCACGTCAAAAGCGCAGATTCGAATACCGCGCGCATCGACAGCCGGGCAGTTTTGTTCCTCTCGTTTCTCCAATCGCACCGCACTGCCGCCGCCTGCAGCCGCCGAGCCTCGACCAGTCTCGCTTGCACTTCTATGCAAATGCGGGACGCACTCTCCGAACCTAGCGAACTATTTCAGGACTTGCAAATTAATAAGCCTCGCAGAGGAAATACTGTGTAGTGCACGATACACGATGTAACGAACTTCGAATAGTTTGTAACCTATGCACCCAGGAAAATGGTTGCTTAATTTTTAATTGTAAAGGGTTTTGTAAGAAGAAAGGAAAAAAAATCTTGACATTAAAATATTTTTTTTCCAAACAAAAAAATTTGGATCAGGAAATTCTTTTTTAAGAAAATAAAAACAAGAAAAGTAATTTTTTTATGATCCAAGATGTCATTTTTTGGGGAGTGCTGAAGACACTCTTCCAGCAGTGAGACCGACTGGGCCCCTTTTGCATGGCCTCCACTTCATCGCGGTACCGCGGCCAGCACGGTCCTCGTCCAAGGGTGCAGGCAGTGCGGGGCAGTGCGGGGCACGGTGCAGCAGAGAAATGGGGCAGGGGAAAGGGGAGAGTGTTGTGCAGTGGTTGTGGTGAGGGTGCCAGCTGGGGCACGTCCCGCCCCGCCCCGCCCCGCCGCGCCGTGGACGTGATCGGCGTACGGGCAAGCCGAATATCACTCCTCTGCCCTCCCCTTCCTCCTCCGCCACTGCCTCGGCCGCTCCTTCCTTTTGTGTCGCAGTCCCAGTGGCGTAGCACCGCGAGGCGCCGCGCACAGTCGCGCACAGAGACAACGAGAACGCAAAATAGCTCCGTTAGTGCGCTACGCTAGTTTGAAAACAAACAAACAAAAAAACGCGGGCTTTCTCTCGCTGTTCAACGTTGTTTTCTCCAAGCAAATTTCTAAAGAAAAAATTGTTGAAAACCACTGAGGTATTGCGTAGACGCTGCGGCTGGTTTATTAAGGGAATTCCCCTGAAGTGGACTACATGGACGTGCTTGGTCGCAAAGCTCAAGTTTTGAATGGGATGGAAGTGGCGAAGCGTTACGCCAAGAGGACGCGGGTGAGCGGACTGACCTGCCGCAACGCCTGCCACGTCCACGATGGCAGTCTCGGACAGAGTCAGTCCGCATACTGCAGTGTGTAGGACGGGGAAGGAAGTGCACAATTATCGGGCCTAACGGGGGGACGAGCGCGAAGTGGCGGCAAAAGGAAACAAGCTGAATGAAGGAGAATAAAAAATAGTTCCGCGACTTCCCTTTGTCACAGCGCGCCGCTAAGCAAGAGAAATGGTAATCGGCTCGAGTTGTTCGCGTCCAGACGAATAAATGGTCATCGCGCAAACGGAACAAAAGCGAAGCCCCGCCCGGCACCATCGCATAGTGGACGTCACGGCGCCAACGTCTCAATCTAAAACTGATGAATTAACTAACGCCACCAGCAGCAGCCTGCCACGCCAAACATTTCTCATACCGCATTTGAAAAAAAAAATCATCCAAAAATAGACTGGCGGCACAACGTCACATTATTTGCTTTGACTAAAAGAAAAACTTACAGTGAGGGCCCCGCCAAAGGCCGGCGGCCGGCGCAGTGGTCGCGGAGTATCGTCATCAGATATGTTTGACGGCAGGGGGAAAACGGCGTATACACTGTTTTGTCACATGCAAGAGGACCAAGAAAAAGGCTATATGATTTATTGCCGATTCGATCCGCGCGCGAGGGAGACGGAGCATGTACCGCTCTCTACTCGTTTAGTTTCTTTCAACCCTTTTTTTTTCTTTCCAGTGCGCCGAGCAGTATTGCCTTTGGAAGCTCAGTGTCATTACGGCATTCTCGCGGATTATCGGCGACCTTGGCGGACTTATTTCGTACTTCTCCAATCGTAGGCAGTGGAGGGGCAGAAGGAGAGGAGATGCGTCCTCCCTTGCACGAGGCGGCCGCGCTATCTGATGTGTTTTGACGGCGAGGTCGTAATCGCAAAATTAATACACGGTAACGTTGAGCCGCAAACACACACACACACACACACACACACACACACACACACACGTCCACGCAGTCGGCCGAGCGGAAGACGAACGGACGCACAGAGATTAGCGGTGGATTAAATCACGCAAGAACGCGCGACCCGCGAAACTAATTCAATCAGGACGAAAGGAAGACCGGACTCACCGTGTATTGACTGAAGTCGGATTGCCCACGTCGTCGACCGAAGGCTTTCTGCAACAGAAGCGGGCGAACACATGAGTACGGAGGTGTACGCAAGGTTTCTTCTTATTTCATCTCACCGCCTTCCCTCTCATTACACACTTCCCTAATCCCATTTCACAGGCCGGCACTTCCGGCTGCTGGCCGCCAAGACAAAGTTGACGTGCAACAGCAGCCTGCAGCCGCTGGCCGGTGGTCCGGATACCGAAACAATCCCGAACGCTACCCGAACCAGACCCGAACGCGGCCCGAACGGGGCCGAGGCAAAGGTACCATACGACAGCCGATTTATTTACATGAGAAGACAGCAGAAGCCGAGCCCTCAGAGGAACGCTATTTAAATAAAGCTCTCTGTACGGGTCTTATTGAACGCATTAGTCAGGGCTGAGCGAGTGCCTTCAGGCATGCCCTACATGCATGCCGGACCAGGAATTTTTCCGGGGAGCGGTCGGTCACCGGCACACTAGCAAACGGGACGGGCGGGCTCGCGCATTTCCGAGTGTCATCTCGCTTCAAAATGCGCGCGTCCGGACACGTCGCCATGCTGATTGGGTCCGCTTCCGGGCCGGCCCGACCCCACGGGCCGAGCCACGGGCCGCACGGACTCGGCCGACCGCCGCCGCGAGTGCGAGAGAGACAGCGCCACGACGCGGTTCAGTTCCAGAGTGACAGTTGACGAGCGTCTCTGATGCGGCCCGACGCGCGCCAGCCGACCGACCGGGCCGCCGAGGGCCAAGCCGACGGCCCGGCCCGGCCCGGCCCGAACCAACGCGAACTCTTTCGTTGTCAACGGCCGAGGACGCGGCGCGCCGCCACGGGCCGCCCGGCCGCACCCACTACACTGCCGCCCCGTTCGACGGACTGCCGTTCCACTATACGCCGCCGGTGAGTTCCTTTTCGAACGGAATCTTGCGAGACTTTGGATTTGGCCGGCACGGCAGAGGTGGCGTCGCGGCAGACGGCCAGGCGCCACGCAACGCCATGCAAAGCGGCGTACAAACATGTCTCGGCAACTGCAGGCACGCCGTGTGTGTGTGTGTGTGTGTGTGTGTGTGTGTGTCGTGCTCGCGCCACGCGTTTACAAAGGGGCACCACGCTACTCCCGCAGCAGCAGTGTCCACCTCCAGTACACTGATTCCGAGAGCCGTTTTCGTCGCTGTGTCTCTCTCGCACTCACGGGGCGTCCCGCACTGGTGCCAGAGAGACAGAGCGACGTAAATGACCCTCGGAATCAGTCCTCAGACGTTGAGGAACACAGCCCGGCGGAACAAACCCCAGTCCACGTCAGCGGCGACGTTTGGCACCGGTTGGCCGTCGTTCGCGTCGTCCTGGTGGACACCGAGAAGTGTCTTCGCTGGACAGGTACGAGCAGGGCGATCACCTGTTATGTGATGAGAGCCTCATTTGCCCAGAGTTTCGGCGGAATGCGTGAAAAGCCCATGTCTTGCGTACCGCTTGCGTAACGAGGTTCGAGACCCGTTTTTCTGCCACCATGTTTCCTCTCACCTTTCGGTCGTCTTCTGCACGCCGCTGACATGTACTAATGACGCCTAATGCCAAGTTTGGCAAAGCTACGATACGCTAGGAAAAATGACCGGAACGCATTTCTCGTTTCTAAATACCCCTTTTCACATTGTAGCGTACCCGTAGTGCTGCAGGCCGTAGCTGTCGTCCTCGGACCTCTTGTCCTCCCACGACGCGGACCGGTAGTCGTCGGCGTCGTGGTAGCGGTCGTACAGCTGCTGCTGCGGGTACGGCACTTGGTAGTGGTGGTGGTGGTGGTAATAAGGGTATCCACTCTGCTGCTGCGCGAAGTGGCCATGGTGGCCGCCGTGGTGGTAGCCGTTGAAGAAGTGGCCGCCGAAGTCCGAGGCCGCGGGCACGTGGCCGTCGTAGTACTGCGGGTACTCCTGCTTGAACGGCGGCGAGGTCGGCGGCGACTTGGTCCTGGCGGCCTTCTTGCTGCTCCGCTTGGGCTTGAAGGGCGGCTCCGCCGGCTCGGCCACCACCGTGCCGGCCTGCATGACGGTCATAAGGCGCGCTCACAGACCGCTGGGTCGCGGCGAACCCCTCGCACTACACATGTTGCACACTATCACAGCGTCACTTGTCACTCGAAACACACTCGCGTACGTCCTGCCCTGGCCGCGCGGGGCCTGGCTCTGCGCGGGCTCCGAACAATCACAACCGAATCACCTCCACGCCGTGGAACCACTACGATGCCGTCATATCATGACCACAACCATGTGTTTATCCTCGGCGGCGCAGCGCCGAGCTCGCCAGAGTCCTCCCATCGAGGAGGAGGGGCAGGGAGCCGTGCGAGAAGGCCGGGGCTGGCCGGGGCGCGCTCTGGCGGCGGTTTGGGGAGTTGGGCGGCGGCTCGGCGGGGAGTGGGGCGGCCGGGTCCAGGCCGGCAGGCCGCCACCGTCCAGCGCCTGGTGAATGGGGCTGCCGATGTCCAGCCGCCGGACCACGGACTCCAGCCGACTCCAGCGAGGATGTTCCTGACGACGGAGTTCCGCCGCGGCCGGATCGCCGAGCTGGTCTGAGACTGGCGAGGCGCTCGGTGAGGCGCGGCGGCCCCCACGCCGTCGCCGGCCGCCGCCGCAGCAGCCCGAGCCGCGCGGCGCGGCCCGCCGCTCCTCGAACTTCGTCGTGCTGGCGTACTATCCCTGGCAAACACCGCCGCCAAATCACCTGCACCACACCGCCAACTGCCCTTTTGAAATAATTAAAACCGGAGCGGGCGGTCTCGCTCGGATGGGTACTTTTGTCCGTGAGTTTACCAATCACGGTGATGCCCCTGGCTCAATTACGCGTTGATCCCCGTCCCAGCCATGGGTCCAGCCATGGGCCCGCCGCCGCCTGCCCGCCGCGGTACACACACAGCCAAAACCCACGCCTCGACCGCACACCTCTAGTACAATATTTACCCCTCGTTTCGCCCCCACCTGTTATTGACCCATTTGCCGGTCGTAAAGCGCAATGTTGTCAAATAACGCCCTGCTCGAAATGACCGATATTATACCATCAAAGCTCGCTTAATTGTCGTATTGGAAATGACGGAGGAATCCCATCGGACGAGGCGCGGCAGGGCGTGGCGCGACCGAGGCGGAGCTGCATACTGTGAAGCTAAACGGGGATGAACGCCATAGGTACCCGCCGGGCCGGTGTGCGAGAGAGAGTGCGCCACCGACGCGCCGTGCCTCCGAAACTATCCTTGGAAAAGTTTGCCGGGCTTGACCGTGGACGGATTTCTCATACCTGCGGATCATCATCGCTCACAACGCGGTCTTTGTTCCCTTTCGCTCGGCTGACTTTGCCTCTGTCCTTCTCCCTCGTGAGGCCACGTGTTAACTCGACTGTAAACACTGCCAATCATCCAACAGGAGGTGCCTGCGTTACGGAGGACCCGGAGACTGCTTCGAGTCCACTGCTTGGACGAGGCCCGAAGGAACACCGAGGCAGGTTAGTGAAATTTCTGCTCGCCTTTTTAGAGCAAGCAACAATAGACGGTTTGGCCGATACCCGATAAAAGAAAGAACTAAAACCAAACACGGGACACGAAGCAGTTCGTTAAATTCGCTCACGAGTGTTCTAAAGTCACTTTAAAACTATTTTTTGAAAATACTACAAAAAACCTAATTTGATGTTCGATTCCAAAATATTTATCCACTTTCTTTACCCATATTATTTGCCGTTTCCTGTGTTTTCCCTCGTTCAGTGCAGGGAATTGCCCAAACCGCGTCTATTTGTCCGTGTTACGAAGGAGCGATTGACGTCGCTCGTCTGTGACCCAACGCCAGCGTGTCTTTGTTCCCCGTCCGTCTCTGGGCGTGTATTTTTCGCACTGGAGCCGCTTGTCCAGAAATCCACGTAACGCCGTGGGCGCGACGCCGGGGTGGCTGCTCCGCCGCCTCTGCTCTTCCCACCGCTTGGGTCAGTAATGCATTCTCGCCCGCGGCCAAACGTTTCGAGGCTCGGACCGTCGCCGTGGGATTAGGACGGCACCGGTTACCTGTCGCCTCGGGGTCGGGAGGGACGCCGCGGCCACGGCGATGGTTAAGCCCGCTACCGTTTGGCTACCGGTGTTGAAGAAGGTGGTCCTTGCCCGCGGCAGGGCGGCCCCTGTGCTGCCCCATTCGACCGAACACTGTTCTTGTTGTTGCTGGTTGTGACTGAACAACAACATCACGCGGTTCGCGGAGAGCTGGGTTGCCCCTGTGCTGCCCCATTCGACCGAACACTGTTTTTGTTGTTGCTGGTTGTGACTGAACAACATCACGCATTTCGCGGAGAGCTGGGTTGCCCCTGTGCTGCCCCATTCGACCGAGCGCCATTTTTGTTGTTGTTGCTGGCAGTGACTGGACAACAACAACAACACGCGGTTCGCGGCGAGCTTCTTGTCCGTCGATTTCACACGCCTGTCGGTGGGCGGGCCTGTCTGCCATCGGGTCCATCGGTTCCACCCCGCGGCCGAGTGATTGCGCGATATATTATCTAGAGTGACAACTACTCGGGCCTTCCCCGCGGATTTGGCCCCAAGGACTCGGTGAAAGGGAGAGGGGCGGGCGGCGCTGCCATTGGCCTGCGCGCCAATGCGTGCAGCTCGGCCCCGCCAATCACAATATGGAGTAGCAGCCTAAACACCATCATCAAGCGCTGGCCTTTTCGCTTGGCTGGCTCCGTGTGACGGATTCGGCAAAAAAACACACACCGTCCGACCGTCTGCCGGCCGACAACGCAGCAACGACATTGCCCCTAGAAAGAAGTCCGCTTCAGAACTGCGAGGCTACAACTACTACTAGTCGTTCCCACGGACTTCTAAGAAACACTCTTCGTTTCCACATGAGTATGAAAATTATAAAAGAAAAAGATGGCTGCGCGCGCATTCTGCGCGGTGGTAAATTATTCGTGAAACAGCCCGCTGTAATGCCCCGGTCATTCCGATTGTAATGAGACAAATGGAAGCCGGTCATTATGCACTCTGTGATTTCCTTGCTGCTTCACTTCCACTCACACACACGTATGACACGCTTTGCATACACGCACACAGACTCAAAAGGGGCGCGTGGCTCACCTGTTGCCGCATATAATGTGTGCGCAGCTAAACGGGCGATTAGGGGTGCTTGTGTGTGTGTGTGTGTGTGACTGGTCAAGCCACCCCTGCCGCGCACCCTTCCCATGAGGGTCCGGGCTTCGGAATGGTCCCGCCATGACTTTTAATTCGCCGTTCCGGTCCGTGGAGCCATAACAAGAGGGGGAATGGTCGACTTTAGCGCCGCTATGAGATGCGCTCGCCCCGTTTCGAGCGACCGCGCTGACGTTAAAACGTTTTAGCGGCGGTCACACTTGGCATTACTTGGCCACTAATATTGTTTTATTTTTTTGCCGTGTCCAGCCGTCCGGACGGCAGCGCCTACTTTGACATCACCTCCGGCGCTAGGACCAATTACCCCACGGCTTTACGGTGGCATTATGTTTGCTTTGCATATACATTCATTCAATTTGCCGGGCCACCCCTGGCTGCCTGCCTGCACCCTGGGCGAGGGCACGCCAATGTAAAGAACGTAATTCCCAGCAAGTGACCTCACGGCGCGGGCGGGACTTTGCCAGGAGCCAGGAGGTCAATAAATATTCCCGCCAAAATAAAACTGAGTGGCGCGCGCTGCGGAGCCGAGAAAAAAAAGTGGCTTTTGAGGAAAGCGAAGTTTTCGCGTTGGTTTCCAAAAAAAAATGTCTTCAGCTGAATTATTAATTTTGCTATCATCGCTGGGGCTGCTGCTGCTGGAAGTAAAGGGTGGGGAGGAGGAATGAGAAGGCGTGCAGATTAAGAGGGACGACAGAGGGTTAGTGGCGTCTTGCCGGCCCCTCCGGAGGCCCCACTGCGTCCCGCGCGGTCCCGCGCCGCGACTTGCTGCCCCGTTTCTGATTTATTGCGGACGTTATGAGATCTCATAAACAGCATATGGGGACAATCGTCCCGACATGGCACGAATTGAGCCCCTTGCCCCCACCCCTTACCCCCACCGCCTTGCCCCCACCCTGCCCCGCGTATCCCCTTTGTCACCCTAGACACCATAAGTCCATGGCGCTGCTGCTGCGGGTACCGCTACCGCTTCAGCTAAATTGAAGCTCTTTATCTTTCCATTCTTCGCCATCCCGGAGCAACAAATTGGGCAGCGCCGTGTGCGCCCTTCGTTCGCCTCCTCGGCCTGCCCCCGGCCGGCTGGACATTTTGTCTCTTTCTCTGCAACGAGTCAATACGGTGCACCGGGGAATGACTACTGCAAACAGCCCCGGCCACGGCCAACGACTCGCCAGTGTTTCTCAACCAACAAAGAGGCCCATTAAAGAGACACCATCAGGAAAACCACACGGCATTTTTTGCTGGCAGGAAAGTCCAGTGATGAACGGACAACAACTAGTTTTCGTCTAACCGAATTTGAACAGCTCGCCTGACCCCTTTCCCTTTCAAGGGAATAGTTTGGAAGTGTCGGGCTGCGGGGCAGTGCAGGGCACTTATGCATATCAATACCCAGAATGGAAGCCGTGATGGGCGGGTCCGGCTGATGGGTAATAACACCTATCAGGGCTCCCAGATCATCAGCCGTGTCGATGCTACAACTATTGCAACACGGGGAAGGTGTAAGGAAAGAGTGCTGAGGCACTTGCGAAAGTTCAAAGAGTGCTATGCACTTCAAATAAAAATAACTTTGCGAATTTAGTCGAGAAAAGTGAGCCAAGAATTTAATCCCAGTTCGATCGGACTGCTTTTCGAACCTCCGCGGCACCAGCCACACCATTGACGCCATTAATCTTTTCACGGGGACGTCGGTAGATAAACCCTCCGAGCCGCATAATAAGAACAAAAACACAAAGGAAAACAATAAGGACAAAGTGTGACGGAATTAGTTTGTCAGGCTGGCCGAGATGGTATCGGTGCCAACGGTAGCTGGTCGGTAGCGATGCCCGCGGGCTGGGCCGGAGTCTGGCCGTGGCCGGGGCCTGGGCCAGTGTGTGGTGCATGCATCTTACTGCTAATGGAATCGGGCCAGGATCCAGGTAATTCCTTGCCAGAGCATGATTTACGCCGTGGCTGGCAAAGACGGGCCGAAAATCACTTTGGAAGCTTGTGGCGGCGTGTAGGTAGTACCCTTGGACGTTTTCGGGAACAACAGCAGCTACTCAGGAATATCGTACAGCTCCTTGCAATCATCCTTTGCCTGAGAAAACTGCTGAAGAAATAGCCAGAAAAATTACTTACAAGGTCCTCAGGACATCATTCGACCATTGAAGACGTCTCTGGGCACTAGCTCTAGAAACTTCTAGA